ACTGAAAAAATAAAGCGTCTTCATTTCACTGATAATGCAGTACTTGCCGTATATTATCTATGTCTTTTTCCAGTTTTGGTCAATATAAATAGAGGATCAGGGGTATTCTGGGTGTGTTGATTTTGTCACTTTTTTAAAAAGATTTTTATCTAAAACATTAAAAACCGCAATAAAAACACTCCTTTTACAGTCTGCTGACAGAGATGTGTAATTAAGAAGGAGTGAGCTCTCTTCTATATTTCACTCTGTGTGATGACGTCGCGCGGCTTCCGGTTTCCTATTTCCGTACACAAAAGCTCCGCTGATGACGTGTAAACTCCTCTAACGTTAGCTACCAAGCTAACAGAGCCGCTTGTCACAATTAAAACTATTATAACAAAATAACGCGATAAAGTAGAGGGAGGGCGAAGCGTTTCTTAGATCGGGAAAAATGGAGACGCTTTACCACCAGACCAACAAGTGAGTTCTCTTGTCTGACGTGAAAACGGTGCCCGTTAGCTACCACTGCTAATGAGCCTAACTTATTATCACTTTTACTTCTGCTGCAGCAGGCTTATATCCGCATAATACGATTATTAAACTATAAATATGGCGCATACCAATATGTTCATGTACAGTAATAATTAAAACAAAAATTGTTTTTATTGCTGCTCACTAACGTTATGATCGTTGTGGATTAGGCAAATCCAGGAGGTTCAGTCTCTAATGGGAAATCTGGAAAAGACAGACCGCCAGTCAGTTCACTGTAAGTGACCAGCTGTCATGATTGTAAGGGGCTCTGCCCCTGCTCTGTGTGGGAGTGTTGTTGTGGTACAAAGCTGTCATTCCTAATGGCACCACCTCTGATGAAATCCCCTTTGAAGAGCTTCTAATTTCTGCTCAGAACCGGGTCCTTGTTATGGCTGCTTCTTCCTCTCACATATATAATGATAAAAGCCAGAGCTAATTGTTTTCTGTGGATAGTGCCTGGCCGTTCAGTTCTGTGCCCAGCTGTTGCCAAGACAGGAAGTAGTAGGGTGGGTGGTGTGGCAGATAATGGTGGGAGCCGGGCAGTGAACTATGCTCCCCTTCACAAATGATGACATAAGGTTTATTTTAACCCCAGGGGAGGATGTAAACCTATGCAGCTACTAATGAGCTGGGGTCGCTTAAGTGATGAATGCTACCCTGTGACACCTGGGTATATTATTAGAAGACAAACAGCAGCCCAAACTCTTTTCTTTATATATATTGGAAGACATGTTTGAATCAATTCAGTATGTAAGTAAATTAGCCAGTAAATTTCAAAATTATGAATTGTAATTTCACAGCCTTAACTGATGTCTTCCCTGCAATTCTCTCTTCTTCATTTCTCTCTGTTTTACAAGTGTTAGAAAATGAACTGCAAGCTAGAATCGACCAGATCTTCAATCATTTAGAACGCCTTGAGATCCTGGCCAGCAAGGAACCGCCAAACCGCCGCCAGAATGCCAAATTGTGAGTTTGGATTTAAACAATAGACGGTGACCATAAAGACACAGAAACAGCAGGGTGTATCATATGCAATAAAGGCAGGAGGAGGGTTAGATGATGAAGAGGCAGCCGCGTCCTGCCCTGTGGCAACGTGGCTCTGTGAAAACATTTCCTCAGAAGGGTCCCCGTCATCACCAGCATTCCTGCTGCATTGGGCAAAGATTCATTTCTGAGCTGGATAAACAGGCCTTAGGGGGGACAGTGCACCCCATTCCACAGCGCTCCTTTAATCTTAGCAGGTCTCTGGTGGGGCCTGAGTGAACTCAGGGAGGGGAAGGGCGTGGGGGATTGTGGGGACTCTTCAAAACAAGCACATAAGATTTGAGAGCAAAATAAATGTTCTCCTTCAGTACAACTGCTGATACACTGAATTGTGAAAAAGGGTGCAGTAAGAGTTAGCACCACTGTCAAACAAGGGTGGAGAGACAGTACATTAAATTCCTCAAATCTGTTAAAAGTTCCTCTCCTGTCCTCTTCATAATCAGCTGATTCTATTTATTTATTTATTTGGTACAATTTAACGAGGATGTCGACAGACAGCAGCCTGGTGCATAGCTGCATATGAAACTTTTCTGAGTCTCCCAACACAGAATCTGGTTAATTTCTTTTATCTAGTTAAAAATAAGTTTTACTAAAAAACCCAGCAGAATTTGGTTTAATGAAATGATCATCCACTCCATGCAGTGTGAACCTGTAACCTGTACTGTAACAGGGTCGTGAGTGCTGAAAGTGAAAGTCAGTTCCTGATTTGGCTGATGCAGTGCTAAAAGTCAGAGGGAGGAATACATTGTTTTCCCCTGCCAGGGATGAAAAATTATTTAGCAGAGACAGGGATGTGTAGACCAGAGTGGGAGAAATCCCTCCCATCCTCCCTGACAAATCACACCCTGGCTATAGTACTTGCACATTATACGAACTGCAAGCTTAAATTGAGAAGTGTTCGAAAACTCCAAGTAGCCTGTTACCTCCCACAGTGGGCAAAAATGCATTTGAAATCTCTATAGATTACTCTTTGAGGTGACTGGATTGCTTTGTAAAGATTTGCAGGGACCCGCAACTTTAAATTGGAAAATGTTTGTTGTAGTTGTAAAACTGGACACAGTTTGAATCCTTTTCTTTCTCTCAGACGAGTGGACCAGCTCAAGTATGATGTCCAGCACCTCCGGAGTGCCCTGCAAAATTTCCAGCACAGACGCTATGCCAGAGAGGCCCAGGAGAGAGAGAGGGAGGATCTCATGAGCCGCACTTTCACCACGAATGTATGTAAATTGTCTAATAGTGATCAAACTGGTGATGGGTATTGATGTGAATGCAACATTTTAAGCTAAAAAAAAGAATCTAGAGTTTGTGTAAATTACAGAGATTCCTTTTGTTTAATAGGACGCAGATACCTCCATCCCCATAGATGAGACCCTACAGTTTAACTCCAACTTGCACAACGCACACAGAGGCATGGATGACCTCATCGGCAGTGGCAGCAGCATCCTTAATGGTCTCAGAGATCAGAGATCTACGCTAAAGGTTAGTGACTTAACACAGCAGAAAAACAAGTCTACATCTGTAGCTTATTTAAAACATTTGTTAAACAAAGGAAGCGGAATAGAAGGCGGATTGAATTAAGTTTCCTGACCCACTTTCTGGTGTCCATGACGATCACAATAGTCGTATTGTTAGTGTGCTCATGCTCAGCTAGAGGGTGAGTGTGTTTCCAAGGAGGAGATGGGCTTCCTGGTTTTGCTTCAGGCCTCTTCTTATCAGGGTGTGTCTGTTGATCAGCACTCTCAGCCTGGTTGTCTAGCCATGAGAAACCTCTGACGGAGTGGCGCGTCAGGGAGGGCGTTGGCACTCAACGTCTCTCAAAATCAGAGGAATTAGTGGAGATAATTACAATGTGGTCATGGAAACATTTTGTTTATTTATGGCTCTTATAAACTGTCACATGTGATCATTGCTGTTGAAATGAGTGTGGCTGTTTTGGCTCTGCACAGGGAACCCATAAGAAGATGCTGGATGTGGCTAACATGTTGGGGCTGTCAAACACAGTGATGAGACTTATAGAAAGGCGAGCCACCCAAGATAAGTTCATCATGATTGGAGGCATGCTGCTGACCTGCGTCTTCATGTTCCTGGTAATCAGATACCTGGGCTGACCTCCAACCATCCACAAGGGCGGCTTTTTGATCAGTCGTGGACATTTCTGCAGCACATCGTCCCTCATGATATGAATTTCTAACATTAAAACCAACTTTCATAAGTTGTTCCCTTACATTTAGTTTTCTTTTAATGGCTTTCCATCATGTTTATTGATAAAATGGTGACGTTGGCAAAGACCTTAAACTACAGACAGTATTTTTAATCCATGTGAAGCTCAGTGTGCCACTTTCCATTTTTACCAAAACCACTTTGAAACTGTAAATTTCTCCTGTGACTTTACACAGATGGTTTCTTATAAATACATAACTGTTCCTCAAGTTGCCGTCAGTGTTCTTCCGCCTTGATAAACATGGTTTTTAAAGAAATACAAGTACGGAAATGTTATGTTCAGTGTTTCATCACAATGCAACTTAAGAATTCTCACCAGAAATTCTTGTGTTTTATGGTGTAAACTCAGTTACTAGCTTATTAGCTGCACCTGGTCAATACAGTCTATTGTAGTGGACAAAGTAGGATTGAGTTGATGCCATACAATTCTAATACATTAGGCACAATGACCAGAAAATTAGAGACTTTCAACACAAACATTATATCCTGCATTAAGGCAGGACTTAGTGGACAGCCTCATTAGGTTTAGCGAGCTGTACCTAATAAGCTGGGAACTGATAATATATGTAGCTAATAGTTCAAAGAAAATCAATGGAAGCAGCCCCTTTCTGTCACATGCTTTCTTTAAGTTTGTGCTTGGTCTCGTCTCACTATGTGAGTGATTTTAAAGAAATTCAATCTATAATTTTCTTTCTACAGCCTCATGTAATGGTTCTGCAAGTGCTGACAGGACTGTTTCCCCTTTTACAGTAAACAGTATTAATCATAGCCTGGGACCAGATACACTAAATGCATGCTGCATTCACATGGATTGACTGTTTTCCCGAAGCCTATACCAGGTAACTCCAGCACCATCTACTGTTGGACATTTACATCTGCAGGGGTTGTTTGACTGTCAGATGAAGCTTATGGAAATAAGGCAGGACCTTCATTTGACCGTCTACAGTTATTTACATGGCAATTTCAATAATGAAAGAGATATGGAAAAAGACACACAAACTCAGGATTTTATTTGGTGAAACAGAGTTAAGTCTTTAAAAAATACAGAGTTGCTACTTTTCTTTTTAAACAGGTCACTGCTGTTTGGCACCCCAGCAGGGATGAACAAACCACCGTGATAAAATACATGTGTCCACCTCCCATCCAACTTGTCATTTGTCTGCTTTTCCCACTCCCCCCAACAGCAGTGTCAACCCAGTAGAACGTTAATAGGTTAATCTACAGCAGTTTTATTTACAAAATTACACACAAAAAAAGCCAAACACAGCTCTTCTTTTGAAGAGCATTTTGGAAAATAATTTAAAAAACAGAAAAATACAATTATTGCAGTATACTACAATCTTATTATATGATGCACAGGCACCATCTTGATGTACAGATTTCAGTGCAATTGATTCAGATGTACCCTCATCCCAGGGAACAAGAGCTTTGCTTCAGAGTATTCAGGAGATTTACACTCCTTCATCACATTCCCCCCGATTTAGAGAGGGCTTCTTGTATGACAGTGTCATACTTGTTTGGACACCATATCTGTTTTGTTTTTTCATATGGCTGTCACTGGTGGGTTTCTTCACATTACACACTGACCTATGTACAAGTTACTGCATTACAAATTACTTTTAAACCAAGAATCCAATAGAGAGTGAGTAGTCATTTGAAAACACAACAAGAGATCAGTAATCATGAAAGAGTCCATCTCTGAAAATTAGGTTACACAGATTAAAATGTTCACCTCTAGAACAAAACCACTTCCTTGAATCGTAACATGATTCTGCTTACACCTTTAGCCATCATGTATCTCTTTGGCTGCCAAAATGAGCGAAAAAACAACAAAAAACTCCAGTAGTTTCTGAGGCTGTTACTAGTTCCCAAATTGTAATATAAACCAATGGTCTAGAGGAAGTGTCTACAGTTTTTAGAGGGGGAGAAAAAAATCTGTGAAATAATGAGAAAATAAAAATCTCACATGTACCAGAAGAAAATGTTAGTGTCGATTTTGAACCCAGCAGTCTTAACCACTTTGTGGTGACGTGCTGCACTGTGAGGCCAGTAAAGTTCTCATAAGATTCACATCTTACAGCCTGCATGATGTAACAAAGACTTTATTTAAAACCGTAAACCAAGAGAGTTCAGGTTAAGTCTTTCATTTAGTGGTTGGTTGTTGTGAACACACTACTTCATTTTCATTTGTTTTCAAGAGCCGTGGTTAGGGGGGTGCTGGAGGTCCTGTCCTGAGAATATTGGGTGTAAGAGTGGGTGGAGCTGAAGGGCTGCTGCTGCTGCAGCCTGTGAGGGTCGGGGTGTGAAAAGTGTGGGGTAGAGGGCTGTGTGTGGAACATGGTGGAGAGCTAAGGGGGTGTGATGAAGTGCAGAAGCAGGGATAATATGGATTGGCTGACCAGAGAGGAAGGCTGTTGGGTGGGCAGGGATCAATCCTGCATGCCCCAGTGAGTGTCCCAGAGAATGACCAAGTGAGGGCCCCAAAGGAGACAGGGAGATGGGGGTAAGGTGATGCTGGGGAATGTGATGTACCTGGGCCAGCTGGGCATGTGCCGGATGTGGGTGGTGGGGATGAGCTGGATGGATGCCCATTGCTGCAGCAGTGGCTGCATGGTGCTGAAGGATGGCGTGTTGCACTGTGGTGATGGATGTGCCAGAAGCTACGGACACAGTTGGCTGCTGAATGTGGATCTGCTGCAGGGCTGGTGGAGGGGGCGCTGGGGCCAAAGTGGCAGCTGCTGCGGCAGCGGCCGCTGCAGCAGCTGAGGGAAAAGTCTTGACCTGCTTGGCTAAAAGCTGCTGCTGAATATGCTGTTGTGCAGCCTGTTGCAGCTTGCTGTATTTCTCCATCTCCTCTGGTGTGAATGTAATTGGCTGACTTTCCAAAGGAGCCAGTCCATCCTCCTCTGCCTCCATGCCATCCTCCTCCAAGCTGGGCGGTGGGTAACCAGGGTAGGCATGCATGGCAGCCTGCTGCTGCTGCATTTCAGGCATCATGGACTCCATCATTGGGTTCTGGGAAAGGTCTTGTCCTGACTCTCCTTGGTACTGGGGCATCATCATGGAAGGTTCTTGTTCAAATACTGGCCGCGTTTCTTGGTGCCCCTGGTCTTCTGTTGCAGGCTGCTGTGTCTCTTCTTGAGTCACTGTGCTCTGTGGGGCTTCCTCAACCTTCTGAACTGGTGGAGCTGGAGGTGGTGGTGGAGGTGGGAACTCCCTTATAGGCTCTACTAATATAACCTCTCCTTCAGGTTCAGAGCTCTTCCCTGTCCCTGATTTCTCTCCCTCTTCAGGTCTGATTAAAGGAATTGCTGGCTTTTTCCCTGCCTGCAGCTTACCAATTAGTGGAAGCATGGCTTTGTTTCCAAGGGATGGGGGTAGTTTTGGGCCAAAATAGCCCTGCGGTGGGTCTTTAATCTTAATCCCAGATTTTGTTCCTGTGGTAGAATCTTCAGAGCTTTTCTTGGACTGAACCTTCTCCAACAGCTGTCGTGCAGTTAGAGTGTTTTTCTGTTCTCCTGCATCTCGAGACCCCCCTGGTCTCAGACCCAGCGAGCTGGATGAATGGGTGTTGCGGTTAAGGCCTCGTGAAGAAGAAGACCGTGGAGACTGGGAGCGGTAGATGCGTGAGCGGTTGAAGTCTCTGCGATGGGTGTCACTATCCTCTCGACCCCTAGTGCTTCGCCTGTGAGGAGACCCTTTATTTGAACTGGAGGAGCGGCTAGCAGAGCTGTAGCTACGACTGTAGCTCCGCCTCCAGGATCTTGCACTAGTGCTGCGACTCCAGCTGCTGGAGCTTCTGGAGCTGCTCCGATGATGCCGTCTGTGCCTCTTCCTGCGGCTGTAGCTGCGTGAACGTGAGCGTGAGTCTTCTGAAGAGGAAGATGTGTACTGATGCCTCCTGGATCGTCTACGTCCTCGGCTACTCCTGCGGTCATACTCTGAGTCGGATGAACGTTTGGAGCGCCTTCGTCTGTGACCTTCTGTGCTGTAGTCGCTGTAGCTGTCTGAGTAGCTTCGGCTACGGTGGCTGTAGGCACTGCTGCCTGCTGAGGAGCGCTCAGAGCTGCTGGAATAAGAGCGACTACGGGAGGTTTGGCCACGATGACGCCGGCGACTGCTACCTCGTCGTTCCCCCCGTCTTGATGAACGGCTGCAGGATCGCCCTGATTCTTCACTATGGTGGCGGCGTTGTTCCCTCGGGCTTGACCTGTGATGACGTGAGCGCTGGGTATTAGAGCCCCCTTCTTCTTCACTTTCACTGCTGGGAGGTCTACCAGAACCAGGACTCTTTTGGGCTGAGGTGGAGCACGAGGCACTTTGAGATGCACTGGTGTCAGTCTTTTGTCTTTTGTTGCCACTGTGCTCCTCAGATGAGTTGGCCTTCTCAGTACTTTTTCCATTCCCTCCTTCTGCTCCAGATTTGCAAGGCACTTCCTTAGCACCACGTTTCCGCTTCCCCAGTTCTGCTCCTGTGTTTCCTGTTGCTCCTTCCCCTCCAGTTGTCAGCTGAACAGAGGAGGCAGCGGCTTTATCTTCCGACTTTGGTTTAGGTTTTTCCTTTTCTTCACCTGTTGCCTCAGCTTGATCTTGAGCCTTGTTTTTGCTCTTCTTACGTTTGTGTTTTTTCTTTTTTTTGGGCTTTTCTTGTGTTACCTCAGTCTCACCTTCTGCATCTTCTCCCGCTCCTTTTTCTTTTCCTTTGCGTTTTGAATGCTTTGCAGACTTCTTATGCTTCTTCTTTTTCTTTTTTTTCTTTGCACTATTACTTCCACTTGTGGCCTTTTGTTCTTCACTTTCTGGCTGCCCAGACTCTCCTTTTGACACTAGCTTGTCTTTGTCAGCACTAGTTCCAGGTTTAGTAGCCATTTCTACTTCAGATGATGAAGCATTCACTTCTTGTCCCTTGTCATCAGTGTCTTCACCAGGCTTGGGGGACTTTGCCACTTTCCCACCACGCACTCCTTTGTTACGGGACAGTTTGAAGTCAAAATAGAGGGGATTGCAACTGTAAGACAGGGAAGGTTGAGCTTTTGTAAATTCAAGGAGCTCCGATGGCCACTGGAGGGTTGTAGTCTCATCTTTGCTCAGGACTGGAAAGAAGGGACCAGTGGGCATTTTCGGACCAGCGTTTGTATCCACAGTATCACGCGTCTCTGCTTTCTGGGTGGGTGAAGCTGGTACAGCAGGAGCTGCATCTTCTGCACATGAAGGGGTCTCCTCTTCTGCCTTTACTTTAGCTGATAGAGGAACTAGGTCTGGGTCAGCATCTACAGTAACATTGCCTTGTTCCTTTTCAGTCTTGCACTCTGTCACATCGCTCTCTGTCTGTTCTGGACTTTCTTCAGCCTTGTTCTCCTCTTGTGTCTCTTCCTCATCGTCTTCATCTTTGCTCTGACACTGTTCAGAGGCTTTCATGAACAGCAAAAACTGGAAGTGTGGCTTTACTCGACAGTGAGCTGGTGGTACATAGTGGTAGTACTGAGGCTCTTGTCCAACATATCCTTCATTGGTTTTCATCATCATTTTCAATTTGCTAAGCGTTGATGCTAAAGATCCTCCATCATCAGGCTGCTGCACCTCTTCTGTACCTGCTGCACCACCTCCTTCTCCTCCTTCACCTCCTCCAGGCAGTCCCTTAGGGCTGTCTGTGCCACAGCCTGATGTGTCATCTTGTCCTCCAGCCTTTTCTCCCTCTTGACTCTCCTCTGTCTCCATAGCTTCCTCACCATGATCAGCAAAAACAGCAGCTGCTGTCTCCAGTTTTACTGGTGCTTTCTTGGCAAAAGAGAATGAGACACTGACTTTTGATGCGTTGCTGGAAGTTGGCGAGGATGAGGCATTCTTTCCCAGAGAGAAGCTAAAGGTTGGACCAGACTTTGGGGAGGCTTGACCAGTTTTATCTGGCAGTGATCCTTCCAGGGCAGTGTCTGCCAAAGACTGTGTCATGCTGTTCTCAGGTGTCATGCTGTTGCTGTCTTCTCCTTTCTCTCCATCAACAGCGACTGTAGTTGTTTTGAACATAGGTCCACTTCCAGGAGTTCTGAAAGAAAACATTACACCAATGTGATGCTGGACAAATTTTTACTATCGAGGTCTTTGCCTTTAATTTTTATCATGTTTACTGGAAAAGATGAAAATATACAAAAATATGTTTTAACTTACAGTAAGTGAAATGTTCAAATACATTTTGTTGAATTTGTCTAGCTTGGACTAACATATTGAACCAGTGACATTTATAAAATAAGTAATTTCACCCTGTCCCATTAAATATATATATACACAACCCATCCAGCAGATGGCACTCCAGGAATAAATACTTACCGGTCTTGCTGTTTTCTCTGCTCAGCAAGCTCATGCAATCGCCGCAGCATCTTTTCTTGCTTTTTTCCATCTTTCCGGGAACGTGATGACACATTACGAGCAAACTCTCTCTGCTTCAGCTCTTTAAGCCTCTGCAAGACAGAGAGAAACCGGGCACATCATTTCATCGTGTCTTTAATTAAAAACAAATCTACATCAACACCGCAATGCTTGCTAAACAGCAGTACCTGCTTGTGAGCGTGGTCATAAGAGTTAATGTGGTTGTCAAACTCCTGGTGTTTGGTGTACTGTTTGTCACACAGCTCACAGTAGAAATTGGCTCTCAGGTCTTCCAGAGCTTTTGCAATGGCTTTTTCTTTTTCCATCTGGTCCTGTTTTTAGTGGGAAATTTAAAAATACAGTATCAAAAACATACAAGTGATAACAATTATTATCACTGTGACAAAGAGATAAACAACCTCACCTTGTATTTTTGTCGCAGTTCTTCTGTATCTTCCTTTTCCACTTCGAGAACTCTCCTCTTCTCTGTGGCATCCTCGGCATAATCCAGCTAGGACAAACAAAAAAGTCACATTATAAACCAACAACATTGTCAAAGACAGTCCAAGTTCATCTTATATACCAAAAATGAGTTTAATATGGTGCATAGAAGAGCTGATGTGCCTTGAACGCATCGAGTCCCTACAGTGACTATAGAAGACAACACATGGAAACTCCAAGAAGAACAATTGGTCAGTTTGTGTCGCTTGTGTGCTGTTACACACGTTTATCATGCTGACTGACTGTTTGCTGTAGAAACATCTATGTGACCAAGGTAGGTGAATGTTATTTCAAGACAAATATCAAAGACAAGGCAGGAGCTGAAATAACTGACAGTGATGCTCGCTGAAAATTTAAGCATAGTTTTATTTAGCTGGGCAGTGTTGGTGTCACATTCTTCTTTGTGGTTTTTAAGTGTTTTGTTTTCATTAAATAGAATCATTCATCATTCATGTCTGAAGGTATTTGAAGTGGTTAAGACTGTCCATGGCAGTCAAGATCTTTAATATGTTGAACACAGAACACCTCTGCATGAACTGCGTGTTGTGAACAGGACCAGTTATACTTAAGTAGTCCTGTAGGAAGTCACTGTGCCATAGCCTTGAGACTTCTCTTAAGGGACCTAGCAAAGCAACGTATCCCATACTAAGAGATAGATAGATATACAAAAATTGGTGCTAATTATTCACTCGCAAAGTGTTTCTTAATACTTAACAGTATGGTTTTCATGCTATGTAAATGTCTTTAGAGCTCCTGATGATTTGTCCAGAGGCTATCTGGTCGACTCATCAGGAGCAACCCTGAAACATGGGATTTTTAAAACCATGTGACCTCGTATAACACAGCATTTTAGCTAAACTGCTCATTTTCAAAGTCATTTCTATTTCACAGTCAAAGCACTCACCCCAGTGTCAAAACAAGTTCATAATATTTATCTAAACACCTTAAACTACTACTTGGACACTTAAGGTGCAAAAAAAAAAAAAAAAAAAAAAAAAGGGAGAAAGGAACACCTTGCTTTTATTACAGGGTCAACTACTACAACTTAAATAAATGTGTACGAATCGATAAAAATGAGCATCATACCTCCATCTCCATTCGTCCCATCCCCATGACATCATACTTAAGGATGATGGGCACAGGGTCAGTGCGTCCTAAGGGTAGAAAGAGAGAGAGAGGACCAGGTGAGCTTTTTTAATGCTTGGATGAAGAATCAACTCGGAGACAGCCTGCTTTTAGAGCATAGGGTGCTGGGGTTAGAGAATTTTGCCTTCAAGTGCAAAGAGACCAGAAAGCTACAGTGAACCAAACACCAGCCATTCTCACAGCTTACTGCAGCCACCAGCTACAAACCAATTTAGCCTTCCTGTTACATTTGACCGGGCTGCTAGTTTGCATTATGAATGAGTCAAATTAGCTGCACTGGATTCCTGATGGAGTAAATGAAGACAAGGGGATCAGGATTGCTCAGTAAAATGTCTTGATATAAAAGTACACTACAAAGCATACTGATCTTTAAGCCGGTATGTTTTCATTTGTGCCTCTCTGGCACCCCTCCTCCATCCTTTCATTCCTGCAGTCCTGTTAAACCAGAACGCCAAGTTTATCAAGGACGCTGCAGCTCGAGGGACTGTGTGTGTGTGTGTTTGAGAGACAGTGTGTGTGTGAGGGGAGCTGCAGCTGCTGCTACTGCTCACAAAACACCACTGCGACATCCTCCTTGAGAGTAACAAAGGCTCCCAATATTATCTAAAGGCTATTGCATCACTTCTTGCTGAACTGTCTGTCTGACCATTTACTGTCCTGAGGTCCAAACCTGTTCCCTTGTCAGAGGCCCCCCTTTCCTCATTATGACTGAAGCTGAAAGATTTTTCTTCCGTTTACTTAACCTATGTTATGTAAGCTGTGAAAAGAGCTAGATCAGAAGGAAATTAACTTGTAGAAAAATAAACAAACCAAAGACAACCAAAAAAACAAAAACAGAATGAAACATTAAAGATATAAAATATATGTAAATCAAAACTACATTGGAGATTGACACTGAATTGCTTGATCCACTCATAATCAGCCAAACAAAGCAGAGAGAAAGAGTCAAATTAAAAAAAAAAAAGAAAAAAAAAAGGACACAAGCACTGAACTACAGCAGAGTGACGTCACAGGCCAGGTATCGCCATGGTGACAGTGCAAGGGATGGGGGATACTTACCTGGTAAAACATGGGCATGAGTAGGAGGAGAAGGAGGGGGGGACAGACAGACAGACAGGGGAATCTCAAAACAAAAGGCATAAAGAGAATTTGGACTAGTCTGCTGCTCCTGATGCCAGCCAGATGTAATAATTAATCACACTGATAGTGATTATCAATTCAGTTTGGTTTCAGTTTTTTTCCCCTCCCACAAATCCAATAATCCAATGTAGGTTTTTCCACAAATTAAATTTCTATGTATACCATTGGGCATATGGAAAAACTACTAATATTTAATTACAGTGGCGCTAAATAAGATGTAAACTTACTACCAGTTGGTGCCATATATAAAGAAGAGAAAATAGAATTCTCCTGTTCGTAAATACAGATGACTTTCAATCAAGAGAACGAAACATAAGTAGTGGAGTAAATAATATGTTCAAAACCTTTTGGTTTTGATTAAAATTTCAAAATTATCACAACCGCAGTGGCTTTCTTACACATTCTTACTTTCCTAGACAGGAAAGTAAGAAAAAATGTACTGCAAATCTCCGTTTCTTTTAGCCATCATAGCCCAATGACATAGTCATTTTAAAAACAAATGCATGGGCATAGTAGCACCCTGTATAACGGCCTGCCTGCACTCTCAGTCCCACGGCAGTGTCTGTCACCTAGGCAGGCTTTTTTTTTTTTCTTCTTAAACAGAATACCTAACAGTGATTGGGTGATTTTTGTGGCCATATTCAAACTAAGGAAGTGAAAGAAAACGGCTGATTTTGAGATCACAAGACTACTGATAGCCTGGACATGTAAGTTCATGCCCTTTGTCAAGCAGCAGCAGAAGTGAAACCAAAAACAGGGTTTAGTCTGTTAGCCAGCCACTGCAGTGGTCTCTCTGACAAGTCACAAGTCAGGCCTAGAATTATAGATTAATGAACAATTACAGTCATCCCAAACTATCACCAATCTTTAAACACAGTGACAATACTTCCACATTACCCATTCCAGTGAAAAAGAAAGGGACCAGACAAAAACAATGTGCATCTAAATCACAGGGTGTGAATCACAAGGTTTTTTGGAGAAAAAAAAAACTGAAAACAAACAAAATGACAATGTTCTAAGAGTAATACATATGCATGGTAATATACAAGCAGCAGAATGAAGACTAATACAGAGAGAATTAAAGCCTATGTAGCATTGGTGCTCTGATGAAAGAAAAAACAAACCAAAAAAAATTGGAGAAATAAAAACAAACAGAAAACAATTCAATTGGGGGATAAAATAACATTTACCACTAAGTTTACCATCAGCACAACATGGGCAGGATCAAATCGCTGTAAAAAAGAAACACCAATTGGTTAAGCAGGAAGATTGAGGCACATAGAGAAGGGAGGGTGGGGTTGGGAGTGTGGTTATGGGATTTAGGGGGGTTCATTACCAGAGGGGCTACTGTGTGTCAACCGCCCCACCCCCCCTCATCCCTTCATTCAGGGCTAGGTGCTTACAGGGATTTCCTCTCACCACTCTCTCCCAACCACTTATCCCAGTCCCCAGGCCCCTAGCCTGATGTCATCTTGTTTCTCAAACAAAATATATCCCAAAAAACAAATTACCACCCCTTACATCTTTTCCACTATGGGAACTTGCGACCTGTAACTGAACACAAGCTCAAAATGGGGCAGTGGGAGTTGCGGAAGCAAAATCTGAGCTCCCCTCAGGAGATTGTGCTAAATGAACCAACACTATAACATAGCGCAAACAACATGGTTTTAAACTTTATCATGAAGAATGCTACCATTTCACTAATACATGCATGTATGCATTCTCATATGTCATTAAGTTCCTGTAGTGGAAAAGCAGGTTGGTTTTACATCTAGTAAAAACCCTGGAAATTCCTCACATTTTAGCTTGGGAAATAATAATAATAAAAAAAGAAGTGAAATCTCATCAAATAAGAACTGTTAAAGGAGCTATTCTGCGTAAAAGACATACTAGAAACTGCCACGTCTGATAGTATTTTGGGTCTAGAGGGAGGCTTACCGCCTAAGAAAAGTAATGAATCAAAAATATACTTTTGCCTTTTTAAAGATGTGGTCAAATATCTAGATTGAGACAATAGGTGCCTCTAGGGATGACCACCATTTTCCCCCTCTGAGCTTTTTGCCTTGCAGATGCTTGTCAGCCCAGTTAGCAAATCTCCCTGAGATTCCTTCATTTCCTTGCTAGCCTACTGCCAGCAAGCTCATTTTGGGATGTGCTTAACCATGGAAAAAGTGAACACAAACTACACATAAAATGTACCTGAGGGAAGAGCCAGCAAGGCTTTGAGCAGTGCTTAGAGTAGTTTCTTTATTGCTATGGAACAGCAACGTTACTCAAGTACAACTAAAGATGTTAATTGTGCATCCAATCGTTTTGTCATATAGTCCTATATCATGTGAATGTAGTAGTTTAGTGTGCTACCTCCAACACTGCTTAAAGCCCCAGGTGAATGACAGTTGGAGGCAGGCAGAAGTGCACCTCTGGGACAAACATGCTATGCTGAAGGGGCAAAGAAACGGGGGGAGGATGGGAGCCTGTGACCATGGGGACAGAGACAATTGGGGTGTAAGAGGTGGAGAGGTTTTCCCTGCAAGTTGACTCTATGGCCCGGTCAGTAGCAGACACACACGCATCTCAGTTCCACATAATGACCACACACGTACACATGAGTTTCACAGGTTTGGAGGTAGAAACAGGCAAACAAGCAGAGGGGAGAAAACTTGTCTACTCTGCAAGCCATTCACAGTCTGAGCCATGGTTACAGCCAATCAGATTACCCAACAGCAGCCACGGAAACTCTAAGAAGGGGGAGAAAAAATCTAACATACACGGAGATGATGATTCTAAGGATTTTGAATGAATCATGGCTTCCTAAATCTACCTTGATTTAAAATGGATCGTCCTTTGTTCAAATTGAAGCACATTACTCATAAGCAGATTGAAATAAAGGTTTAGTGATTATAAAGCAAAGAGGAGGAAGCTGACAGAGGCCATTAGCCTATGATAAACTGTAAAAGGGATGTTACACTGAGGTCAACTGCAGAGTGGGAAAAGAAAACACACGCACACACACACACACACCCAGGCGCACACACACACACACACACACTGACATACAGAGGATCCAACAAACCTTACCTAAAAAAAGGGCAAAAGGGACAAAAGAAGAATAAGAACAGAGTCAATACAGTGAAAAACTTAAAAAAGGGGACACAATGCTTTAATGTCAAATTTCATCAACCGTCTCTTCAGGCAAAGAGGACAGGAAAGAAAAGGGAAGATTATAGTGATTATCCAGCAGACTTCAATGAGATGCAATGGTTCACCTATGTGATATGCCTACTCCTAAGTCTATTAGCAAAATTCAACAGGAGATAGCGTGCTCCAACACTGGGCCATTAATTCCAGCACAACAACTGGACACAATTTGCCGCAGTCTCATCTGCCCACAAAGCAGGATGCTTACATAATCTCATGACTGGTGCCAGCGGCAAAAACAAGAGCACAGTCAGCCTCTGCAACGTGTTCTCTCCTCCACACAAAACACACATCCTTATCACATCAAATAGTCTGCTATTCACTAGTTCATGGCCAGATGGAAATAAACAATGATGGTTACTGACCGCTAAGCTCTGAAATTTCTGCTGTTGTTACCCTCCATAAACTTGTCAGCCTGCCCAGAAAGAAATGAAGCAGCCTCTTGGCCTACTCTGGTCCTTGGCCATGGTCAGCCTGAGAATACCTATGAGAGACAACACTAGGAGCCAAGGCCATATATGTACATGTGAGAGCTGCTAGGGTGACTGCAACAATAAAACTCAACAACCAGAGCTCATGAGAGCTCAGTGTCTCTGGAGGACAAGTGATTCCTAGAAGCAACATTTTAACATGGAAAGAACAGACCATGCATGCTGTAATTCTGCATGAGCAAAAAAGGTAAAGACTATAGTGATTACCTTACTTTAATACCTTTCTACACTCAAATAAAACCAACAAAAAATACATAACAGCTCTATGTTAACAGTAGAAAGAGGATTCATCATGTTTGTCTTCCTCTACTGGTCAGCCAAATGTCAAAACTTAGCATTATTCTGGTAAACTAAGGACACTGTTTAGTTAGGCAGTCTGTGTTCTAATTTTGTCAAGCACACAGTCCAAGACATTTTCAAGACCCCCTTTTCTCACTCTTTTACTTGGCAATACAGTGTACTGAAAAATCCTATTCCCAGAACCATATAAACAAGGAAATCTGGATTAGATGAAAACAATTAAGCAGCACTATCCTGGACACATGCTTATAGATCTGTACATAAAAGACAAGAAAATTTAAGCAACCCAGATACAAGCTCTGCCTAAGGCCCAACACATTTAAGACAACTATGTAATTTGGGCGTGTGCTTTTCACTGTTTTGCACTATTAGTGGTGTTTCTCAATAAAATGCCAATATTGAAAACAGATGTTACTGCTAGGTTTACAGGAAGGGCAATGCACTTGAGAAAGCATTGCAACTGAGCAAGACTAAGTGAGCGAGGGAGATGGATAAGTCAGACATGACTAAAATGTTATGGATCCAGTGGATAGAAAGGGACATAGAGGAGGAGGCAGATAAGATTAATACCAGAAGCTATGTAGAAAAACAAGCTCCACTCTTAACAGACTGCAAGGACTCGCTTGCGCTGAAGGCATTGACATCACTCATATAGAATGCTATACATCACTCTTTTTGGGCAGAATTCAGGGAAGGGTGAGGCTACGAGCAGAAACAGAAAGGGGAGGAAAAGGAGAAAATGAAGATGCTGATGAGAACAGGAAAGCCAGTGAAGAGACAGGAAATGGCTTGGTGGAGACATGCCAAGGCTCTGCACCACTGCCACTGAGCCAATGAGCCTATGAGCACAGCAGGTCTGAGCTAATGAGGTGCCAACGTCAGCCAAGGTCTAACCCACACGCTCAGCTATGTGCAGCCTTCTAAGTTCGTGCAATTCAATATAAACAAGGCCATTAGATTACTATGAATGGCCAAGAGAAAGTAAACCTCTCTTAATGCAGCTTTTTAGTCTAAAGCCTTTTACATCTTAGAGAATTTGTTCTAGTGCAGAGGTCACTGAGCATTTCAGAGTCACTCTCAAAATACAAAGCAATCCTTAAACTAATAGAGTAATACAATGTAATATGTTCTTGGGCATGCAGTTAGAGTAATAGAAAAGCAGATTTTTAGATTAAATGCTGGACTCATCAATTGTATAAAGTCATAGGTATACAGGGTAAACACTGAGTTTAATGATACAAGAAGTGTTCAACTAATGGGACTGTCCAACACAGTGTCTGATCAAATGTCTACAACTAGTGGACCTATGGTCCCTATTACTAACTTCTGTTTGCGGTCTCAGAGCTGTAGGGTGTGTGATGACCAGCACACACACAGCAACCACACAATGGACACATTAAAACTTCTTTTTGATTACAAAAATATAGCAATGCAGTGCATTCCTGTAGGGTTGTGGAGGTGTGCGGAGGTGTAGGCATGTTTATTAGGAACTTAGAACATAATGGCTGTAAAACCATCTTTCTTTTTTTTTGCATTTCTTTGAATCATCACTCTGTTCAACACTAGCTTGCTGATTAACATATTTATAAACTGCCAACTTATGAGGTTCACTTTACAGTAACAAAACTGGTTTTTACCAGCTATGTGACCGAGAGATGAGCCTGGTCAAAGTGCTGGTTAAAATGCTCGGTAACTAAGTGAATCAGAAATAATCAGTGCTACAAGTCTCACTCCAACGTTCAGGGACTTGTGGGGTAAAATAACTCCCCCAGAGGGTCTCTGTAGTTAAAATCAAGAGGTCCTTCAAAAGTCTTTAGTCCCTGTGAAAGGTTCTTGCAATGGAAAAAAACCCAGCTAATGTGTTCTCATTTATTTGCACCCCTATCCAACTAAAATAAATAAATACTCATGTTTTAACAGAAATCCAATTTAGCTAAAAATGAGATAAGATAAGATAAACACTTTATTTATCCCATATTTAGGAAATTCTGATATGATCACCACATGCTTTCAAGTTCAGGGCATGATCTGAAATAGATAAAACAAATATGTCCCCTGGAGGCAACAAAGAAACCACCATATCAGCAAACTGTATGTTCAAAAGCACTGAATCCGAATGTGAACAAAGGGCAGATTCAACTTTGCTGTCAACTAAAGCATTATGTGAAGATGACTAGCTCCATTCTAGTTCCCAAGCCCCAAAGTCCCTTCCCTAAGTCTTAATCAAGGTCAAGAATATTTTCTTCCCTCTTTCAGTTTAAAGTAACAGCAGTATGAGAGCAAAAAAACAACTACAATGTTTCCTTGAATAACAATCAATTTCACACTACCAGATACAAAGGAAGAAGGCAGAGAAAAGATAAAGAGAAAAGAAAATCTAGCACAAAAAATAAAATAAAATAATACAAAAGGGGGAATGTGAGAGGAAAGAAAATGATACATAGTGTTCCAATACCATCATACATTGAACTTAAGTGTAAAGAAGAGTGTGCCCTTACCCTGCATGGTTTTGCCAAGGCCTTGGCCCAACTTCCAGCCATGTTTCTGAAGCAGCCGGTGCCCGATGTTATCCTAGCAGAGAGAGAAGAGAAGAAAAAAACCAAAAATATTCCAATAATAAGAGGAGCTTTACCCGTAGGCACGGGTGAAAAATAATATAAAAACAAAATAAAAATAAAAAACACTAACAAAGAAAAAAATAAATAAATAACACTCAGATCACGCTACCATCATCAGCACAACCACCACCACCAACACCATCGTCATTATCGTCATCACCTACAGCGTGTAATAATCAGTGTCTTCCAGCACAAAGAGTGGTAAGGGAGGCTGGGTGTGGGGGAATAAAAAGTGGGAGACTGAGAGGAAGGGTTGAATTCAACTATGAACAATACATAAGGCTATATGTAATCTGTAAACTACAAGATATCCTCCTGAAGTAGGAGTGCATTTTAAAAACCTTTATTAGGCAAAGAAACTGGGCGTAATTATTTCTATATTTTTCCATTGATAAAGGTAACACATGAAGTCACATCCACTAACTGAGAAGTTAAGAGGAGGAGGAGTAGGAAGGAGGAAGGAGAGGGCGATATATGTATCACACGCATACATATATGAACCACTACAGAGCAAGATCTCAGTACACAAAGAAAAGTAACACAGAACAGGTATGGAAATCTAGCATAAACAAAACAAAGACCAGAAACTCCAAGCTTGCTGTGATTCTGTAACCATGACGAGGAGAGCACCATGAAACATATGCAGCTGTCACAAAAAATTATAGCAACAGGAAGAGACAGAAGTGGAACTAGTGGGCCTTGGATTACCATTACAAGGCCCAGGGTGGATAGAATATGCATGTGTGAGGGGATATGCGGGTGTGCAGGTGAAGAGAGGAACACATTGTGTGCATGTAGCCCCACCAGATATACGAAAAATAGCTGTTGTGCTTGTTTTTGGACATCCTTAGCGGCTCTGGTCTGTTATCAATCGTCACATCCCACCAATTTCAACACTTATAATTTGATATTTTCATAGATACCATTAGTATTCAGAAATGAGAAAACATACCTTCAGACTACTTGAGGCCTCTGAATGTGCGTGCAAGGCTTTTCTTTTAATACTAATGATTTCTATGACAAATGCATCACAAGATCAAGCAACTGATAATGAACCAAAGAGGCAAGAGGAGTGCAAAAACATACACAACAGGAACTCTCAGCACACTGTGGGGCCAAATGTGCATGTCGGAGACCGTTATATCACTAGTATGGGTCAGCAAGAAAACAAAAACATTAAGTGAAATGCAAGACCGTCCCACCACTACACACTACAGTACATCCTCAAGCACAAATAAACAGGTAACGATGAGATTTCTTAATAAGCAGTGTTTTGCTGTTGTGATTATAACTATTCCAAGCTTGTCTAACATTCACCAGAGTGCTGCATTCTACCAAAAAACATACAAACCAAACAAAAAGGATATTTATAATCACAAAGAGATTGACATCAACTTTCACAAACAGAAAGTGAAGGGGTTTAAACAGAAAAAAAAAACTGCATGCAGCTTTTTGTTAAAGAGTTTTAACAAAAAGGATCGTCGGTGTTAGTAGCGCACTGTGAATGGTACACATACAGAGGAGTGGGGCGGGCTGAGGGGTGTGGGCGGGTTAACAAAACTCCAACTGTGTTAGTCTCAGGTGGTTCAGGCACAGAGAGGAAAGTGATGGCTCAACGGGGCTCAATTAGTTCTCTTTGGTAAAAACAGGAGGTTGGGAGCAGAACAGAGCAGGCTGAGCCATGATGAGGGTGAGTTTCTAGGGTGGTGAAAGTGAACTGGGCTTGTATGAGTTAGTGCATGTGAAGGGGAGTGGTACTCACACACGCAGTGTGCATACTGCATCTCCGCCCATGAGACTTTAATTGAGATACATCTGGCTGTAGCCCTTTTTTAAGGTGGTTTTTCAAAGCAAACTGTTGCCTTCCTTTGCCCTATTTTACAAGTGACATACTTGTACAATATGACATACTCAGGACACTTAAAAATACTTTTTGGTGACAAGAATAACATATCGAAATCATCTGGCTGATGTTTGCAGCAAATGCTCAAGAAAGACTCGAATTCTTCACGTCCTGTTTCTGTTACAGTTTGATGGGTTGTTTTTTTGTTTTGTTTTTTTACTCCTTTTTACTGTGCGATTGTCAGATCCTTTCCGCTGTAGAATGAGATAAGAGAGAAATATGTGCTGGGACTAACATGGCAGGAAGGCAACTGGAGACAGACTGCCTGAATCAACTCCTAAATCAGGACACTGAAGGCTAAATTAAAAAGTCTTGCAAATCACTGTTTATTACTTGTTGCTGCCTAGCAGTTGGGCAAGGACTTATATGAATTAGAGGCTTTATGGCCACTAAAGATCATTTCTTCATGCCTAATAGACAAAATGTGCTCTGAATTTATTGTTAGGGGAAAACACTGCAGAATTTGCTGCAGTGAAAGCCACTCCTGTTCTTGACACAGGACCTGCTTCTGTCCTTAACTGCAATATTGGAGTGTGACAAGACTCTACACAGAAAAGCATTTATTGATGAGGGGAATTAGCTGACCTATGAAGAAGGAATTGAGAAAATAAAATCCACCCTGAACTAACTGCTGAGAAAGGCACTCCCTCATCCCCTGCGCAATTGATGTTAGCTGATTTATTTTTCCAGCACAAAACGTGGTTGTTAGGAAAAAAGACTCAGACTCAAGTCCCATAAATGTATATGCTCCCTTTCACAAATCATTTTTGAGTTTAAATCAAGTAATTATACTAGGAAAAAAAGAC